TGTGTGTGTGTGTGGTTGCACTTGCATGTGGTGGGATGATGAACAGATCTTCTCCTCCTTTGTCTTCCTCCTTGTCCACCTACAGTCACCAAAGGATAATCCTAGTGTGGGTGTGTTTGTGTGGGCACTCCTAACAGTATTTTAAAAATAACTTGTGTTTCCATCTCCAGGGGTGGGTGGTGGGTGTAAAAGGGAAAAGCTCTGGGAGCTGCAGAGAAAATTATGATCACAGTGTGACACAGAATAGAAAAAGGAAGACAAACGACCCAGCGGCACAAACGCAAACTGTACTTCTTTCCCTCCTATGACTCCTTGCTGACTCTGCAGTATTGTGGATGTCAGGGTGTTTTGATCTTGCTGTGTACTGTTCCTTCATCGCATTACGGAGCAGAAATAACCTCATCGTACGCTTCTTTTAAAGGTACAGTGTGTAGAATTTAGTGACATCTGGTGATGAAATTGCATGTTGCAGCTGAATACCCTTGTGCCAATAGATCCCTTTCTCCTAAATCTTACACACTGAACCTTTAAGTGAAGTGCCGACAGAGCATAGCATTTTTTTGTGCATCCAAAAATTCTGCTGTCACTCATACAGCTGAAACAGTGAAAGAACCGAACGTTCATGTAAAAGGATGGAAAATCATGTGAATCCTTAGAACTGTAAAAACACAGAGAAACTCTATCTGGATTCGTTAAAAAATGAATGACCATGATAAAATGAGGAGAAACCGAATTACATCCCTGAGCACCAGTGAAAAGTAATTGGCTTTTTCAAGTGCTATAGTTAAGCATAATAGTACCTGCTCTGTAGATTAAACTGAACATGTGCAAGATGCTGGTTTCTGATGAGTAAGAAAACATGTTTTAAAAGATATTAAACAACAGATTTTGTAACAACAAAATACAGTAGCTAGAGGTCCTGTTCATAGGCATTTAACATTAATATCAGACTTAAATGAGCAGATCACAAGTGGATGGCTACAAGTACAGCTCAGGTCAAACCTGTGTCTCCACATGCATCTCCAATAACCACTTGTGTAATCCGTCAACTGATCTGATCACCTGAGACGTGTTAATAATGGGCCACGGTGAGCTCCACCTGAACCGGATACAAAGGGGGTTGCTTTTATTTGAAACGTGTGTATCCTGATTACCTAAAAAATGCATTGAATGTTTTTCTTTACTCATGCAACAAATGTAAAGTGGATTATTTTGCTAGCTTACCTCTTTACTTTTGCTTGGAATTTGTGGCATCACGGCTCCACCACCAACCGTCAAATCAGTAGAAAAGTATTGTGTTGTAATGTAATGTTAAAGCTTCTGACTATGACGCCCCTAGTAAGAGTATGTTAATCTGTATGACCGCCTCTTTCTTCTTCCTCCAGCTCACCTGCCTGCAGGACTTCTTCGGGGACGATGACGTGTTTATCGCGTGCGGCCCAGAGAAGCACCGTTACGCCCAGGACGACTTTGTGTTGGATCACAGTGGTAAGGCTTCCACAGCCTTTATGACTGGTAGGCCTGACTAAGACTAACTAAACCTCTTCCCTCTGTCCCTTTGTGTGTTTGTTTGTGTGTGTGTGTGTGT